TCGATCTATTCAAAATAAAAGGAACAGAGCATCCTTACACTCTTCGAACTTGTGCTGGTGTAACAGAAACTTCAGGAAGGAGAGCCACTGGGTTTCAAGCTGTATCTATGGATGGAAAGACACACGTGTCACTCCCAACACTTATCGAGTGTACTTATATGCCTGACGACCATTCTGAGATCCCATCTCCCACCGTTGCACACCAGTTCCCTCACTTGAAATCTATTGCTCACGAAATACCAGAGATAGATCCATGTGCTAAGATACTGCTTCTCTTAGGCAGAGACATCATCCAAGTCCACAAAGTGAGGAAACAGCTCAATGGTTTGAACAATTCACCGTACGCCCAAAAACTCGACTTTGGCTGGGTGATAGTGGGAAATGTCTGCTTGGGGTCAGCACATAAACCTAGCACAGTTGACGTGTTCCGCACAAACATACTTTTCAATGGACGTCCAAGCATATGTGAGCCTTGTCCTAATAAGATACAGGTGAAAGAGAAGCTAAGCAGTAAAGATCATGCCATCTCTTTACATGGCTGTCATTTTTACCCATCCACCTGCCCTGAGTACTTGCTGGGAAACACGATTTTCGAACAGACACAAGACGACGAAAAGATAGCCCCTTCCATTGAAGACCGAACATTCATGAAACTGATGGACAAGGAAATGTTCATTGACAGCTCTAACAGCTGGGTGGCACCTCTTCCTTTCCGAATTCCGCGCCAACAGCTACCCAACAATAGGGACCTGAGTTTGAAACGTCTCTTGTCACTCCATCAGACACTAAGGAAAAAGCCTCAAATGCAGGAACATTTCATCACATTCATGCAAAGGATTTTCGATGCAGGTCATGCAGAATTAGCTCCACCTGTGAAGGAAAATGAGGAAGTGTGGTACTTGCCTATATTCGGTGTCTATCACCCTCGCAAGCCAGGACAGATCAGAGTTGTTTTTGACTCTAGTGCACAGTACAAAGGCCTTTCTTTGAATCAAGTGCTTCTCTCAGGACCTGACCTGAATAACACCCTGCTGGGTGTTTTGCTGCGTTTCCGTAAAGAAGCAGTCGCATTTACTGCTGACATTGAACAGATGTTCCATAGCTTTGTGGTGAGAGAGGATCACCGCAACTTTCTCCGCTTCTTGTGGTTTGAGGACAATGACCTCTCTAAAGATGTCACGGAGTATAGGATGAAGGTCCATGTTTTTGGGAATAGTCCCTCTCCTGCGGTAGCAATCTATGGACTTCATCGTGCAGCTCAACATGGAGAACTTGAGTTTGGGAAAGACGCAAGAGCCTTTGTGGGGCGTAATTTTTATGTGGATGATGGCCTGAAATCAGTTCCCACAGCCGAGGAAGCAGTTGATCTGTTGAAAAGAACTCAGGAGATGCTAGCAAGTTCCAACCTGAGGCTTCATAAAATAGCATCTAACAGTCCTGCTGTAATGAATGCCTTTCCTGTGGAAGATCATGTGAAAGACCTCAAGGATCTCGATCTGGAAAAGGACACTCCACCTATTCAGAGGAGCCTTGGTCTGAGCTGGAATCTTAAAACAGACACTTTCACTTTTCGTGTTGATGCAGAGGAGAAGCCTTTTACACGTAGAGGTGTCTTAGCAACTGTCAACAGCGTTTTTGACCCTCTTGGATTGGCAGCACCTGTTACAATACAAGGAAAGTTCCTTCTTCGTGACCTGACAGCAGACACCAAAGACTGGGATGCCCCTCTACCAACAGACAGAGAAGCTGAATGGGAGGCTTGGAAACACTCTTTGCAGGATTTGGCTCAATTTGAAATACCCAGAGTGTACTCAAAGGTTTCGCTATCTTCAGCACAAAGGAGAGAAATTCATGTTTTCTCAGATGCTTCGACAAAGGCAATTGCAGCAGTAGCCTACCTGAGAGTGATGAATGACAATGGATCATGTACTGTAGGGTTTGTGCTAGGCAAGGCTAAGCTTGCTCCACAGTCTGCTAATACTGTACCTCGATTAGAGCTTGGAGCAGCAGTCCTGGCAGTAGAAGTAGCAGAACTCATTCAAGATGAGATAGATATTACTCCAAACGCTGTAGAATTCTATTCCGACAGTAAAGTAGTGTTGGGGTATATTCAGAACCAAACCAGACGGTTTTACGTATACGTGAGTAATAGAGTCCAGCGGATTAGGAAATCTACAAGGCCAGAACAGTGGCATTACATTTCCACAAGTCAAAACCCAGCTGATCATGCAACCCGCTCAGTGCCCGCCTCAGACTTGAAAGATTCCGCATGGCTTTCTGGGCCTGTGTTTCTTTCTCATCCTGATTCAGAGCGTCTTGAAGACAATCCATCATACAATCTGATTGACCCTGATTCAGATGTGGAAGTACGCTCTAATCGTACAGATCTTACACCCCATGACTTTCCTGTCAAACTTGGCTCACATCGCTTTGAGCGCTTTTCGACCTGGAAATGTCTCCTACAAGCTATATCCAACTTAATTCACATCATACATTCATTCAGACCTGAAACTGAGTTAGCAAGTACCTGTACAAAATGGCATCTTTGTGACAAAGCACTCCCAGAGGAACTTTCACAGGCAAAAGTTGTGATATTGCAATGTATCCAACGGGAGAGCTACTGTGTTGAGTTTGTTCGTCTTTTTGAAGGAAAGGAAATCCAAAAAACCAGTGGACTGAGAACTCTGAACCCCTTCATTGACCAAGATGGGTTACTGAGAGTAGGTGGCAGACTCAAGCATGCTCCTGTAGAACAAAGAGAAAAGCATCCTGTTATCATTCCTGGGAAAAGCCACATAGCCCTTCTCATCACGAGACACTTTCATGAGCGGGTCAGACACCAAGGTCGCCTGTTTACTGAAGGTGCAATCAGAAATGCAGGATTCTGGATCGTCGGGGCGAGAAAACGCATTCATAGTGTGATTCATAAATGCATCATCTGTCAGAAACTCAGAGGACGAGTCGTTGAACAGAAGATGGCAGATCTTCCTCCGGATCGACTTGCCACTGATCCACCTTTCACTTATGTCGGTCTTGACGTCTTTGGGCCCTGGATGGTCACCTCTCGCCGCACTCGGGGTGGCTTGGCAAACAGCAAAAGATGGGTACTCATTTTTACCTGTTTGAGTATTCGAGCAGTGCACTTTGAGTTGATTGATTCTCTTGATGCATCCACCTTTATCAACGCCCTCCGACGCTTCTTTGCCATAAGGGGTCCAGCAAAACAAATCAGATCAGACTGTGGCACAAATTTCAAGGGTGCTTGTAAGGAGCTGGGAATGCTTGCAGAGGAGCCTAGTTTTAGGAGCTACTTGAATGAGGAAGGGTGTCGTTGGATCTTTAATCCCCCTCATGCATCCCATATGGGAGGAGCTTGGGAGCGACTTATCGGAGTTGCACGTCGCATACTAGACTCCATGCTGCTTCAAAACAGTCACTCTCATCTCACACATGAAATGCTGGCAACATTCTTGGCAGAAGTTTCTGCAATTATGAATGCAAGACCTCTCGCACCAATCTCAAGTGACCCAAATTCACCCGCCCTGTTGACTCCAGCCACTCTTTTGACTCAGAAACTTGGTGTTTTGTCTCCTCCTCCAGGGGACTTTGAAAATGATCTTTGCCGCCAGAAATGGAAGCAAGTTCAACAACTTGCCAGCAAATTCTGGGAAAGGTGGCGACGTGAGTATCTAGTCCATCTTCAAAGTCGCCGAAAATGGCACACCAACCAGCCTAACATCAGGGAAGGAGATATTGTACTTATGAAAGATGCTCAAGTGAAGAGGAATGACTGGCCGATGGCTCTTGTCACTAAGGTCTTTCCAGGCGATGATGAAAAGGTCAGAAAAATTGAAATCAAGGTCACCAAGGATGGGAAGTGTAAAACTTATCTGAGACCTGTGTCCCAAGTGATTCTTCTTCTATCATCAAAAGAACAGAAGGAATAATGTTCTACAGAACTGTTGCATTGTTAGTAATGGTATTTTTTAAATACCAGACGGGGAGTGTTCTGACTATTTAAGTAGTCATTTAATTTTGGGTTAATTTAATTGGTTAAGATGCATCATGTGACTTAGGTTAGAGGTCGTGGTGGCCATCTTAGTTTTCACTTCACAACAGCAGTGATGCAGCAGCAGATGTCTCTCTGATAAAAGCTATATTCTTCTGTTATTTCATGCCAAAGAGGCCATCGTCTTTTCACAAATAATTACGTTGTGGGACTGAAGATTTCAAAGTAAAACACCGAAAAAGAACTTCTTTGGTTTCGACTTTTTCTTCAACCCTCATCCTGTTTAACTATCTGTTGAAGTGCAACCTACTTGCATCAGGGACAGAATACAGTGCGAAGGTCAGCGGTCTGCAATTTAATGCATTAAATAGAGCAGACAGAGAGAAGACTGAATCAAGACTGATATCAAATCTTGATTAGTATGACCCTGCAGTGTGAGCTTCACTAGTAGAAGACATGATTCATTTGCAGTAAGTGCACCTCACTGCCATAGAGAAATACAGGCTACAATACAAAACCTAGTTTTAAAAGTGTTCTCCTGCTTACCGTTACAGCTAGGATGCTGTTATGTTTTATTGTTTCATGTCTTTATCTCATATTGAAAAATCTTTAACAATTTAGATTTTTTTTATTAGCAGTCATCAAGAAAAAGCGCAACGGAATTTCTGAAATTAAGTTACAGAAGTGTTATTTATTTTTATTGACTGCATTGTAATAGATGGCCTGAGAAGAGTGTAAATAAATCTATTCCTCACAGGCTATGCTGGTTGCAAAAAAAAAGTGTTACAATTTGTTCAGAATCAGATATTTTCTAATTTCTTTTAACTGTAAGAGAGCGAAGAATTCTTTGTTGATACCCATAAAGATGTTACAAAAGATGTTAAAAGTGTGCTCGTGTCTCTGTGTTGGTGTTGTTGAAAAAAAGTGTGAAGGTAACACATAACTGGTGTTTAACACATATACCCCCCTCCCTCCTAACTTTTTTTCTAACATTGGGGTTATTTAACCTAATCGTCTGCTCTACCAAAGCTGTTAAGAAAACATCTCAACTAGGTAAATGTCAATTGTTTGCTTGGTATTTTCATATTTTGTATAGGAATTATAAATCGTAAACTATTAATCTTTCTGTAAATGCTTAAATGTATATGTTTTTGGTACAATGTAAAAATAAATAAGTGTTAAATTAGAACACTTTAAAGAATTCTGATAAAGAAAATTAAATTTAGTATTTATTTAGGAGTTTAACAGGTCATGTTTTACTTGCATCAAAAGTTTGGACACTCTTTGAATGCTAAATGTTTCTTGTTATCTTTGGAACCTTTTAATCTACAGCCTTCCACTATAATAAATTGTACTATAAATACAATATTTACAGCCTGCATCCTTCTGGACATGATTTCATATGATTTTACTCCTTCAAAAATCATGTAAAAACAGATTTAGTAACAGTCTATGTAAGCAGAACACCAGAATTAGTATTTGACATAGTTATTGTTTAATTAGCTGTTACCCCAATGAAGAACAGACAGTTTTTCAGCATTGGTTAGTGATGGAAACTGAAAGACGATCAACTGACAAATTAAAACATTAGTAAACGATTTATAATGTATATATGGAAACACTTAGTTTGATATTTTGTTTTCAAATGTAAAGACTCTCAGACATTTTTACGTTAAGTGTCCAAATACTTCTTGATCAGTTATTCAATTTGAATAATGTGAAAAAGTATCTCCTCTCATTTTCCTCTCTTTCAGCCTGCAGTACAAATGGCTCCTCTTCTGTTGCTCCTCTTTCTTCCTTTTGCCCTCTGTTGTGAAACGATCCCCAACGAAGAGTGCAAGAAGCTTAATTTCGTGCCTGGGCATAATTTGGTGGGAGAAGGCTTTGACATTGTGCGGATGAAGACCACCGGAGCTTTTGTGGTGGATGTGCTTACCTACATGGATGGAGGAGGGCATGGAAACTGCACTGTGTGTGACAACTCACTACTCAACGAGAAACAGAAGGTGCCAGCTTCTGTGACCGACTGGCGCGTCAAGGTGGAGTGCCGTCACAGCCTCAGTACCAAGGTGTATGAATCGGCCAGCTCAGTTCTTAAGGAAACCTCCAATTCGCTCAGTCTCGGCTGGAAGGTTGGGCTGAGTGTGCCGCTGGTGGCAAGTACGGCTGTCGCTGGCACTCTTTCCGTGTCAGCCAGGTTTGCAAATACCCATTCAGCTCAAGACAAGTACTCCTTCACAGGCCACACCTTCTCCTGTCGCTATTACACGTAAGTGTGTGCACTCTCAAAAATAAAGGATCTTTATTATCATCATATTATTGGGAATAAGTAGAGGGGAAAAATGCAATTATTAAGAGTTTATTTAATGCCTGCATCTGTACTCATCCAATCAATGTGATTGACCTCATAAATATGCAAATCATGACATTAGGCCAGGGTTTATAAAGGTACCGTGTGAAATTTCAAAACTTGACTACCCAGGATTAACTATGAAAGATCAATTATAAACTCTGTGGAAGTGTGCTTTTTTATTGCACTGTAAAAACATAAAAGAGTTTCTAATGAGAAATAGTCACATTGTGAGATAAAAAGTAGAAATTTTTGACAAAAATGAAAACAAGGCTGTGAGGGATAGAAGAACAGCATGTTTAATGGATTGTACTTTGGTTTAACAAAATACCAGCTGACGAAACCCTACAACATTTCAGTAGATAAAATCTCCATGAAACAGTTTGGAAAGTTGTACAAAAAAGAAGTGTGATCTAGGAACTTTATCCAGTGCTTGCCCTTGACACTGTAAGCCAATCCCTCACAGACTCGTTTTCATCCGCCTAAAATTCAACATGGCGTCTAACCTAAGGTCAATATAGTCACAATTACCTTTTTTTAATTGTTTAACTCTATGGCAGAAACAGGCTTTCATATTGAACAGTGTGATTCGTGTTATGTTACATTAGATTACTAACATGAAAATCTTTTTTTATTTCCTTTCATCAGATTTCGTCTTCAAGCTAGTCCTCCAATGACCAAAGAATTTGCCGGTTCTATCAGTTCACTCCCTGCTAAATATGACAGCAAGTCAGAAGATGCATACAACCATTTTATTTCTATCTATGGAACACACTTCTTGCGGGGAGTCGACCTGGGCGGCCACGTAAAGTCAACCACTGCTGTGAAGACCTGCCAGATTTCCATGTCAGGTCTGACAGTACACGACGTGAGCATCTGCTTATCGAGAGAAGCGTCTGTCGTCATTGAGGGTGTGAATGTGAGCGCACAAGCAGAATTCTGCGCAGCCAGGCAAAAGAAACTGGAGAAGAAAAGCAGCTTCAGTGGCTCCTTTACCGACCGCGTCACTGAAATATTGGGCGGCAACGGTGAGCAGCAAGACATCCTCTTCAATCCGAGCGTCAATAATGGTTATGGCGTGTGGCTCAAGTCACTGAAGAAAATTCCTGGAGTGGTGTCCTACAGCTTGAGCTCATTGCATATGCTCGTGAATAATGACCCGGTTAGAAAAGCCAGTCTGCAAGCTGCCATCAGCAAATACATCACAAAAAACGCAATATCAACCGCTTGCCCCTCCAGTTGCAAAGTGGGCCAGCGTGACAGGAATTGCGCATGCAAATGCAATGGTCATCAAAAAGTTGATAATAACTGCTGTCCGAGTCAGCCAGGAGTGGCCACCTTGAAAGTGACCGTGAAGAGTGCTGAGGGATTATGGGGCGACAGGTTCTCTAAAACTGATGGTTATGTTAAAGTGTTCTACGGAACTCAAAAGGCTACAACCCCTGTGATTAAGAACAACAACTTTCCTCAGTGGAACTACCTGTTCGATGTTGGAACTGTGGATCTGAATCAAAAAAAGTGAGTAATAACTGTATATTCTCAAACTACGTTTTCATAATCAAAGTTTCAGTTTCTGCAGCAATCCTGTAGATGCTTTCAAAACATGATCATGCTCTTAAAAATCTGTAAACTTTCATGTTGTAAAAATTGCACATCATGTTATGAACATCCTCTTCTTACAGGGAGTTAAAATTTGAGGTGTGGGACCGTGACAACCGGTTTGATGATGATCTTTTGGGAAGGGAATCTTTTATCCCACAGCAAGGCAACAATGTGCCGAAGAAGTTAACACTCAAGCACGGCTCTGTTTTGATTTTCTACACTGCAAAGTGTGGCCCAAGTCTTACAGGGTCATATTGTGAGAAATACGCTCCTACGCCAGGTGGTGATGGTATTCTAAATCATTACCAGCCATTTGGCAGAGAGCAGCCCATGGTGTTTAAAAAATCCAATGGCTTTACAAGAAATGTGTCTTTCCTGTAATACAACAACTGTAGAATGTAAGGATACTGTAAAATATGAATGAAGGGCCTTCTGAGATACCGCATGTATAAAAATTGTCATAAGCTTTTTTAAATATTTGGCAAAGATTCAGTGAAAATAGTTATCATAAATGAAATACCATTGACTTGATTTGTACACAAATTTTCAAAAGCTATTTTTTAATAGTCACTTTAAGAACTTGTATCTGAAATATTTTTATTTTTGATACATTTATTTTATCTGATTCTTAAAAAAAAAATCTCAATACATGATTTAATTGTATCATTTTATGTGTATCTTATAGAACCCGCAGACCGCAGTATTACATTTAAAACATGAATGCTTTCAGACTGATGCAATAAAAAAAACTTTCTTGAAAAAAAAAGTATATTTTGTCTCTATTTTTCACTTTAGGCTGCTTATTTCAATCCTTATAGTTGGTTTTTATCCTATTTTTTTTTTTTTTTTTTTTTGCTCGGTCAGTATAGTTGTGGGTTTTAGTTTGGTGGTCTGTAAAGTCCTTTGAAATAACTGAAATCATTTGGCAAAGTGATATGGAACTGTAAAGACCTGCTGGATCTACTTTAGCCGTGTGTTTCCCTGAAAATAATTGCACACCTTAGAACGTTCGTAAACCAATTAGATTCAAGCATTCAACAGCCCTGTAGTACATTTATAACACTTTCTATTTTATAACCTTCGCACCAAATTACAAAAAAATGACTGCCGCTATCGCTATTTTTTCCTCTTTTTTAAAGATGTGAAAACACTGTTGTGGAGGTTTTTTTTAGCTATTTGAGCAAATGGGAACAAAATATATATAGTCTCTCATTCAAGTTTACCCAACTATGAGGACTTCCGCTTCTGAGAAACCCGGAAATGTGAAAAGGGTCAATTAAAATGACAAATCTTTTTCCTGTGACTAAAGTCTTTCTGAACCAAACAGTGCCCCCTGTAGAAAAGATTATGCTTTACACAAGAAGAATCTCCTAAAGGCCTTCTGCTGTGTTCAGTTCAATAATTTAGGCCCAAGCCTCCCTAAATCTGCACGGTTTGTCATAATTACTATTGTTAAAGGCCTTATAAACATTCAATCTGAATTTAACAAACTTCATACACATGCATATTAGTGTTTGATGGAGTTTATAAATGAAAAGCCATGTGGTCAAATGCAAGTAATGTGATATGAACCACCAAATGCATAAACTGCAAGCGCTGGTGGTGCAGAGATGACTCACGAACATATTCAATGTCATTAAAACTGCAATGACATTAAATTAATATTTTGTGTATAGCCTAATGCACACATTTCTTCTTACAGAAACATTTGAACATATGTGCAAAAAAAAAAACAATGCAAAAAGTCATTTATTTTACTTGGACAAAACTGCTTTGTATATCTCTTCCCCTTAGATTGGGATGTCTTTGTCTAATATGGAGCCACTTGACACTCTTATGGCACTGGGATTAGCAAAAATAAGTTATATTCTTGACCATTATATACTTTAAAACCAGTTCCCGTAGTTCACATATCTGAGCTCTGCTAGTCCAGGACAGTGAACTGGGGCACAACGATGCACTGAAGATCCCTCCCACCCTGATCATTTGTTCCAGAAGCTTCCCTTTGGCAGATGTTTCAAGCAATCCAAACCAAGACCAACAGACAACCGCAGTGCAAACGCTGTATCCCTGCTCAACTCAACAGTTTAAGTTTAATGAACGTATTTACTTTTATAATGCATGTTCCTTGCCCTGCTCTTATGGTCTTTGTAATCTTTCATCAAAATGTAGCACTTCGTTCTTCCTATGAAACGACTTTCACAGATGCCATTTGGGTAATGGTTACCAATAATGGCCATAAGTCTTAAAAAAATGTTTTAATTAAATATTATTTAAATTATTATTATTAATACTGATGCTCATTATAAGAATTAATCCTCACATTAGAAACTTTCATAAGAAAAAATATTTTTATTAAGTTTATTTATTTTGCATGAAGATATGCATATCTTGGTAGGCTACTTGAATTTGTTAAAAAAGACAATAGGTGGTATTGCTCGTCATCACTCATTTTTGATAGATAAAATGAAGTCTCATTTTACATTTTGTTTACACACTGAACATTGTAGTTCTTTTGAAAATATGTAGTAAAAGAGGCTGCAATTCAGGTTGATTTTAAAAACACCTGGATCACTTTATCTGTTAAATTCCATACATTGCAGATTAATGTGTCGTTGACTATTAGCATGCATTTCTCTTTGTACACATCATAACAGTGACATTTGAGATTTGAGGTAAATTGTTACCTCACACCTATAGCTAATGGGGAATGAAAGAAAATCTGATTTTAAAAGTTTAAAATAGTATCTTTTTCAATGCGTCCTACCCCCTTTTCAATCCATTAGAATAAAACAGAACCGCATCGATTATTTCGTCAAGCCAAATAGAGGCTCCTGGTTTTGTATTCCGCTTAAAACAAACTACAGTTCCCTACTTATAATGGAGAACGTAGGTCAGTTACGCGCTGCGGAGACACGCAGTACAGCAAGCGAGCGGAATGGGGGAGGGGCAGCAGGTAAAGTGAGCCGGCGGCGCATGCGCAGAAGCGCTCCAGCCCTCTGCATCGCTCCCCTCCCCCCACCTCTTTTTTTTTTTTGCAGCATCAGTACCGCGTTCGGAATCGCATTCGTGTGCTGGAGTCAGAGCGCGCTGCGGGGCATCACTGCACCGCCACGGAGGACACACCATCACAGAACCGGGAACAGGGAAAAGGAAAAAAGGCGTGAAATAGTGCAGAGGGGAAGAACAGGGCGCTCTTTTTTTGAAATCACCGAAATCTGTGGGAAATTAAACAGGAGCCAGACATTCACTAATAATAAATACACGAACGCAGCGGACATCTCAAGCGATATTTTTGGCCAGCACGGCGGGGAAAAATGAAGGATCGCACGCAGGAACTACGAAGTGTAAGTCTTTATTTCTGATGCTTTATCGTTCATCTCCTCCCATATTGTCCGTCTCCTCACCGCAACCGGGCGTCAGCAGCTGACATCTCACTGCTGCTCGCTCACGGCTGAACATTTATGGGCATGGTACGGATTTCATACATTTTCCGATATTTTTTCTCCCTCTTATCTTTTTTCTTTATGCAATTACAAATGTAACCGTCTACCACATTACACATTGTGCTTTTAATAGCGGCTCTCACGCGAGCACTAGCTGTTCCATGTGCGATGGATCGATTTATCGATCAAATCCGGTTATATGGCGTAATTCGCGAAATGAGCCCCCATTAGCATGCACACAGACTACCTTTGATACATGTCGCCCAGGAGTGTGATCTAGAGTATAGACTGCTGCGGATAGTTCGGCAGTATCCTTACACTGATACGCACCATCCCAATATCTAATTCTATGATCACCACCATGATTAATTATTAATACCTATTTTTTTGTGAAACGAAAATGACATTCATCCGAACAGGTCCCCCCTTGTTCCGTACCCTATGAACTCTTATTAGATTTTCCCTTCTGCACCAGAGGATTTTGAGTATCTTCACTAAAGCTCCATTCTGGTTACATGCAGGCTACCTCTACATCGGACGCATTTGGATCAGTGGACGGGATGTGCGATTATTGCAGCACACATTGTTCCGTTCTAAGCCCCTATATTAAATATGAAAGGGTGTAATATTGTTGCACGTATCGCCCAATTGAGCTAAACGAATACAACATGGCCGCCAAAGTATTTCTATTTGTAGTCGCGACGGTATAGCGACTTAATCATTTATTTATTTCATTTTTCAGTAATATCTAAGGTGGGCCTTAAAGCTTTAATGCGTCGCCCAACCTCCACGAATTTTCCGTCGCCAGAGATCAATGGAATATCGTAAAAGGAAACGCCTGAACCCAGTGCACTGCACTCATCAGTGTGTAGTGCGCTTTTGCGAGGGAGCGAAAGGGGTGGGGGTGAAAGAGAGATATGGACATTAACATGTTTGTTTGTAAAACAAAATATATCGGCAACTTCACAACCAAGCCCAAAGACGTGCATCTTTCTCGGGTGAGCCACTTGCTTCATCATAAAAAGTCATTTGTTCAAAACCCCGGCCGGAATCAGTCCAAGACTTCTCTTATTCCCCTGGAGACCCGGAGCATCTGATATCAGCATTTGCTTATCAGACGAAACGTAGAAATGTAATCTACAGATAATTGGATTTACAGAATTCGCAATTATACGTGATGCGCGTGCAGACTCCCTAAAGCTGAGTGCTGTATGCTGGCGCTGCCACTGTGCTTTAAACATATATCATTAGTCTAGCTTCAAAAGGTGTTAATAGTTCAGCGCGAATCTGATGCGACATGATTGGGCAATAATCGAATTTTATGTAATCGTCAACATCACTGTGACGTATTGGTCGCGCGGTGAGGGAAGTGTATGGGTTACTTGGACTGTGGGCGTGCGCATGGCGAGCGTGTCTATGCATAGTGGAGACAAGCAAGGATAAATCAGACAGAATTCATTGACCTTGCCCCTTTCAATATTAGGTTTCATTTGAATAGGGGAGAGATCTGACATTAAATGAATGAGTAAGATTGAATGGGATAATTACAGCCTGAAGTATTTCTAATGAAATTGGGCTGGGAAAGCACTATGCTCCACAGTGGCCAAAGCAAACCTTTGGCTCCAAAAAAAGCTAAATAAATAAATAAACAAACAGGTAAAATAAAATGACACATAAGGACTGTAGATGTATGACTTTCATCGGTACTCCAATGAAGACGTCACCACAACAGCCTCGTTCAGATAATTAGCACACTTATTTTATTATGATTGATACTGACAACAGCCAGAAGGAACCTACAGAGAATTGAACAGAATATCAATGGCAGATCGTTTGATCCAGACAATAGACCTATATGGATCTGGGGCTAGTTGTCGCACAAGAGAAGTTGTCACTCAGGCTATAGCGCTGTAACTGTAAGGTTTTGAATTTAAAAGTTAAATTAGACAAATGTGTACATTGGTTTCAAACACCTAGTTCAAAAAATGTTTTAAAAAAATGATAATAATAAAAATAGTAGACATCAAAACATCCAAAGTGAAAGGTTAATGTATACACACACACACACACATTAACCTTTCACTTTTGATGTTTCATATTGTTTTGTTTTGTGTTATCACAGTGGAACCTGCCATTAAACAGCCTATTAATTTCTCTGGCTATATTTAAACAGTAAGACATACTGTTTAAATATAGCCAGAAAAATTAATAGGCTGTTTAATGGCAGGTTCAACATATAGTGTGACAACATGCCTGCTATATCACAAAAGGTCAATGTGTCTTGATTGAACCTTTTTCCTGTGGCAGTGGAAATGTTCAAAAGCTTTTTTGGAACCAATACTTTATAAGGCATCAGCCCTAAGACATATTCACTAGAGTAAAATGTGTGACTCTCCTAATATATGATGATAATTCGATATCCTAAGCATCATATACGGTCTACAACAGAGAAGTCTTTTCATGAGTAATGACATGTGTTGGCTGTGTCTTTTGAAAAGTAGATAGAGTTTATGTCAGCATTGGAGCGTTAATGTGACAGAGCAAGCAGGCAATAAATATGATTAAAAAGCGTAACATTTGAAGAAAAATGGTTTCAAATCCTGATACTAAACATACACAATGTATTGTTGTGCTTCACTGTGCCCTGTAATGTCCTTGAGAGAGGCAAGGTTGAATGTCTGTGTCTCTCAGCCTTTCTCTTTTTTTTCTCTCTGCCTCAGCTAACAGGCTTGAGGGGTAAAGTCATATTTAAGACTCCTAATTTAAATTATATAGGCAGTGAATTAAATGTGCATTATTGAATGTGAAACAAGTTTTTGTTGTGGCTTCAGAATTTGGTATATTAAACAGATAGTTCAAAATGAAAATTGTTTCTTTCGTCTGCTGAACACAACAGAAGATATTTAGAAGAATGTTGGTAACCAAACAGTTTTGGTGACCATTGGCTTTCATTGCATGGACAAAATATTGAGACATTCCACAGAATAGCTTCTTTTATTGTCCACAGTCAAAAAGTTACAAGGGTGAGTAAATGATGACAATTTTCATTTTTGAGTGAACTATTAAGAATTCAGCCTGTCATGTAGACATGTTTTGCCAGACCCAAGCTAAAAGCCCAATAAGTTACAAGATATGTCTGGATGTTATAGCTTTTTAGTATAGGCTTAGTGTTTAAATATTGAAATGTTCTGAGAACACTGAATATTGGATTGAATATTAAAATGTATATTTAGTTATATGACTGTACTGAAGAGCTTTCTCAGATCAGTTGATTGGAGGACGTGGTATCCCACATGATATGTATATTTCAGGTAGTTGGCTAATGAATGGGTGAGAATATGCAAACTGTGGGGGAAATGTAATTTATTGTGCATCAAAATAAACGAACAAGCAAGCAAAACAACGTGAACAATGTATGAAAACGAATAAGTACCAATAAATTAAGACCCCAATTCATATTTGTGTTGGAAGCCACTGACTCTTGTTGAGAGATGAATACAGTATTTGTAGAGAGCATGGTATAAATCATTTCTTTATCGTAATCGTGATACGTTTTGCAATGAACATGATATCCAGATTATTGTTTGGTGAAAAACCGCAGGTGTGGACTGACTGGAAAGTTGGCAACCTAATATTAATTTACTCAGAAGCGCCAGGAAGGCAAAGACTATGTGACATCACATACTATATCTTGCCCAGTTTTGTCCAGAAAAGGAGAGGTCAGACACATTGTGCTAATTGATACTAAATGAGTGCTAATAGAACCTACAGATACAATTCAGTTGCACAAATTATGACCATAAACAGGTTGTAAACTATAAACTCAATAACATATTTGTAACTTAAAGGGATAGTTCACTTTGAAATTAATTTTTGATATGTTTTAGCTTACCTCAAGGGCATCCAAAATGTAGGTGTCTTTGTGTCCACAGTTTTTTCAATTTTGATATTTTTAGGTCAAACCGTTCTTGTCTCAGTCATATAATGCAGGTCTATGGTCACCACCTCAAAGAGCATGCACAGAGAAGTCCAAATTAAACATGATTTAATGACTCGTAAATGTAAGTACACATTGATGGCCTAAGACACGAAACGAGCGGTTTGTGTGAGAAAACGAACAGTATTTATATCGTTTTTACCTCTTGTAAACACAGCCAGGTCCAAGTGATCTGACGGCGCCGGCGCTTCGGTCTTTTCCGGAAAGCGCCGGAAGTGAAACCTCGCGCGTGTGCGTCACTCATTGTTTACACAGAACAGAGATTGTAGGTAAGACGGCTAATTAAAAGGGTACTAATTTGCGCTTATTCGGGATGTTTAAACCGTCGTAAAAGAAAACAATTCCAAAAAAATAAAAAATAAAACAATTGTATGAGTGACGTACACGCGCGAGAGATTACTTCCGGTGCTTTCCGGAAAAGACCGAACCGCCGGCGCCGTCAGATCACTTGGACCTGGCTGTGTTTACAAGAGGTAAAAACGATATAAATACTGTTAGTTTTCTCACACAAACCGCTCGTTTCGTGACTTAGGCCATCAATGTGTACTTACATTTACGAGTCATTAAATCATGTTTAATTTGGACTTCTCTGTGCATGCTCTTTGAGGTGGACCCCATAGGACTGCATTATATGACTGACAGACAAGAACGGTTTGACCTAAAAATATCAAAATTGAAAATACTGTGGACACAAAGACACCTACATCTTGGATGCGCTTGAGGTAAGCTAAAACATATCAAAAATTAATTTCAAAGTTAACTATCCCTTTAATATCACAATTCTAGGTGCAGATGTGATATAGGCCTATTTGCTCAAAAAAAGGAATAAAATAAATGATCTAAAATGAACACACACCCAGATAACTGTACAAATATCACTTGTTTTTGATGTTGGAATTTGTGT